CTAACAAATCTAATTTTTGATTCTATGAAAACAAAAACTTTTTCTCTCTTTTCTACTACTTTTCCTTCCCGTTCAATTCAAAACTATAATTTTTTTGTCGCTGTTTAACAACTGAAATAACGACTGCAGTTACATCCGGTCTTGCGAAAACCTTTTTGATTTTGTAAGAGTCCGTACACATGCAGATTCTGTCGCCATGGTACCTTGTGCATTGGTAATCTAGTTGTTTTTATTATTTCTTAATATATTTAGAATCATCGACTTCTCATCCACTTTCTCTCTTACGAAATCGTTTAATTAATTCATCAACAACAACAACAACAAATTGTTCGATTCGAGTTAAAAAACGTCCACCTCATTATCAACATTGTTTCTTACAACAAGAACAAAAATTTTCAACAACTAATTCATTTTATCATTTATGTACCGATTCTCTTGTTCAAAATGTTTATCGTACAAAACCGGATGAAATTTATGAACGATTATTACAAAATAAATTACGTTTACAACCGATCATTGATCATCTATTTGATAAAATTTATCAAGATTTTTTTCGAATAATAAGTAATAATCAAATTTATTCAAATTGGATTAAATTTATAAAGAAAATATTTTTATCTAAAAAAAATGATGAAAAATTATGGAATCAAACATTATTTAAACGGTTCGTTTTAAGAATAATTTGTTTTGTTTTTTGATAGAGATTTCAATATATTTATTTGTATATATGTTGTTATTTTCTTTTTTTTAGTTATATTGAACTAATAAGTGATATAATTCGTCATCTTCATTTATTATTAATGTGTCGTTCATCGTGTCCAATTATTAAATCATGTTTAGCTGTTGTTGCTGATGGATTAGAATTTGTATTTAATACAAAATCGACAGATGTAAGTTGTTCATATATTATTTTTTAATTTATATGTCTTATTTTTATGTTTCTTTTCTAATATATATTTAGTTTTGTCAAGATATTCAATTATTATTTAACAGTGATAAAAAACGTTTTAATCATTATGAAAATGATTTAGATAAAATTGGAGAACAAAAATTGATAAATATTAATAATTCTCAAATATCAAATGATGATGATGATGAATTAATGATATTATTATTTAATGATGAAAATACAATTAAAACATTAGCAAAATTATATAATTTCTATGAGATAAATAGTGAACAAGTATGTTTTTGAAATATTTTAATATCTCGTTTTTTTGTTCTATTCTAATTCTATTGTATAAATTTAGATAAATCAACATATCGGTGAAAATCATGTTTCAGTATTACTTCCTATTCATCATTCGTTGCTTCAAATTCGTCAATTATTAAAATCTATTCAGTTACCATCTTCTACAAATTCATCAAATATTCTAACAGATACAACTTTGATATAAAATAATAAAGAAATTTTATTATTATTATTATTATGGAATGTGTCAGATATGTTTTTATTTGTTAATAATAATGATAAATAAGTATTTTTGTTTGTTTTTGCTTGTTTTCTATATGTGAGAGTGTGACTTTTTTTTTTTTATATTAATAATAAAAAATAGGATTACAATGTAAAATATAGGCACATGAATAGAGAAAGAACAGAAAGACAAAGCTGAAATATACGTCTGTTATATCTCGTTTCCGAGTCTTCCAAATTGAGACCGCTTTTTGTGATAAAAGTAGTGATCTCAATTAGAAAGTCATAATTAACATCAAACAAACATTAGAGGGCGGCAAGCCAAGTGAGAATGAGAGCAAAAATTAGTGATCTCAATTAGGAAGTAGCCCTCTTTTCATTTTTTGACTAATGTTCAATTAGAGGAAACACTGAATATGTTTTAGCGAAATTTATTCACCAAAAAATGAATTTAGCTAACAGCAAGATTCATATTTTGTTGAACAAATGCGATGAATATATTTTTCTTGTCCTTGCATACTAACCAATTGATATAACAGTACTGGAGAGAAATTCTCATGAGGACACTAAAGTTTGACTAACGAGGGAGGTCCACCAACTTATAAATCGTTTTCCAGTCAAAACCTAATTGACTATAGGTAATCAACCATGCTGATTTCGAATATCACCATGACTGCTGCTGCTAGGTCTTCAAAGATCGGTTTTCTGGAAAACCAGTTTTTCAGAAACTTTAAAAAATAACCAAAACCTTTTCTTAATGCTGCATGATTGTAGCCCGCACATTTCTGATTAAAATGAGACGTCCCCCAGCTTTCTTTGCAAAGTTATAGAATTTACAAGGAGCCATAAATGTTCATTGTCAGCTCAAAGCTACAGAAATAAGAAGAAATTAATTTAGGGCTTTTCTTGTAAATTCTATAACTTTGCAAAGAAAGCTGGGGGCGTCTCATTTTAATCAGAAATGTGCGGGCTACAACCATGCAGCATTAAGAAAAGGTTTTGGTTATTTTTTAAAGTTTCTAAAAAACTGGTTTTCCAGAAAACCGATCTTTGAAGACCTGGCAGCAGCAGTCATGGTGATATTCGGAATCAGCATGGTTGATTACCTATAGTCAATTAGGTTTTGACTGGAAAACGATTTATAAGTTGGTGGACCTCCGTCGTAAGATGTACAGAATGTCCCAAAAAAAACTTACCCCCTCTGTATTTATTGACTTTCTTGCGTGTAGATATAACTAAACTTTTTACCATTAGTTTAGTCGAATAGAGCAAAGATTTTTGGACAAAATAAGACGTCTCCGAGTTTTCTAAGAGCTTTTCTCATAAAACAACATTCAATTTACGGACGGTCCCATACCACCAAAATCAGGACAATTAGCGGAAAAACAAAGATACACTCTTAGTGTCTTCCGTAAACTAAAGGCTGTTTCATGAGAAAGCTCTTAGAGAGCTCGAAGGCGTCTCATTTTGTTCAGAAATCTTCGCTCTACTCCACTAAACTAATGGTAAAAAGTTCTATTATATCTGTACACAAGAAAGTCAATAGATACAGAAACGATAAGATTTTTTTGGCCCACCCTGTACGATACATTATTGTTCAGTACAATTTAGTATACTGACGATGAATCTGTACTTTATTTTGTATATCAGTCAACATATAAGAATAAAAATGACCATTGCCTAACAAAATAGCATAGCTAAAAATTAAACTTATGGTGGTTCACTGGCTGACCTGTTTAGAAAATATTAAAAAGATTGACTTTTAAGCATCAGCGAGATATGATAAGAATGGAAGAAATTCTTCTACACAATGAATAGCGACCGTTTAACAGATTTTCAACGAAGCTCTTGTTTCACGTCTGATAATTTGGGTCATTGAAATAACAATAACATTTTTATTCAACGAATTCGATGTGACACATCTCACATGTAATTAATCAGTTATCCATATATATATATATATATACGTATTCTATATATTAAAGACATGAGTGTACATCACAAATACAGAACAATTAAAATCAAATTTTGTCTACGTGCATCAGATTGATTTTGTGTATGTATATATTATGGGACAAAGAAAATAAATTTTTCTCTCTTTTTTGACATCAATCAAACGATAATAGTTACAGCTATACAATAGCGGAACAAATTGTCATAATTATATTTCAGAGATTGAAGGAATGACATATTCATTCGTCTCTTTTAATGATTGAAACATATGCTTTTGAAGGTTATAAACTCGTTTTAACCGCTTTTTAATTACATTTTACACACATAGACACGTTCTAAGATCTTTTGAATTTAAAAAATCAAATATCTAAGTCAAATTAGGAACTATTTTTAAGATTTCATATACATGGGCTACTCCGTGTAACTCGACTGTAAACGTGATTCTGACACTTTTTTTACTATTTTCTTCATTTCATATCTTTAGAACAAAAAATTGTCTGAAGCTTGCGATTATCGCTTTTTGTGAAGAGTGCTTAACCAGATGAGACGTGTTAGAGCTCTCTACAACTCTTGGCTGGTAAGATATTGCGAAAATATTCAACACTGCTCTTAAAAAATTATCTTGTTTTTAAAAAAAGTATGTCTTCGTTTTGTTGATAATACTTTTATAATCGAGAATTCTCGAAGGCTTTGAGATCAGCCATCTTATCAAGCACATTTTGCTGCGTAAAATAAGATAATCACGCACACTCCGGGCATCTTTTTGCCAATGGAATTTTTTTTGGCCAATGGAAAAAGTTTTCCCTATCATCAGAAACAATTAGCCAATCACCACAGGGTATCTACCACTATACTCTGGTTCCATAGAACTTAACCTATGTGTTATTAACTTATTTTTACAACATCACTGCCGGGTTAGCTCTTTGGAGTCTATTCTGACTGGATGAATAACATACTTGATAAAAAATTTCTCTATCCATGCAGGAATGGTTTTTTTTGCTCACTGCTTAGGAAAATCGTGGTACTAGTAGTTAGGATTTGTCTCAACCAGTGTACAAGTTAAAATAGGGACTGGTTCTACCAAAAGCACATATAACAACAGAACCTTGAATAATTATCATTGATTGAGATAGTTACAAGTGTTAACGTTTCAAGAAAAACATGTCGTTTTCATTTTACACAACATATGGCTAAAATATGAACTTAAGCCCGATCATTTTGACGTTAATAGAAAAAGAATTCATTTTACGTGTTTGTGGTTGAAATTTATTTTACTAATTTATTATTACTATTTTTCTCTCTTTTCTTTAAGATTTTTACTGTCCATTTATTTCAAATGAGAAACGAGAGAAAAAGCTATTGTTTTATAAGTGAAAACAATAAGAAACCACCATATAGCATTACTAATAACACTATTTCATATAATCTTCTTGATGAGATGAATGTTGTTTACTTGTTTCTATTTTTTCTATAAATTAAATCTCTTTTCTTAAAATAAGGATATTAAAAATATATGGTCACAAAGCGTTTACATTTACAATATACATTGCTTGATTGATAAATAAAAATTTGGCATAAATAAAAGCAAAGCTTTCACACACACTCGTCTACATCTCAAAATAGTCTCAAAATCTTAATGCATTAGTCCAAAAGGATCATCGTCGATTTCATCACCACTATCATGATCGTCTGATGTATCAGGTGAAGACTGTGTTGCTGTTGTTGCAACAAAATTCAGATTGGTCTGATCTTGATGTACCACTGTTTCTGCGACTAAAAGCTTTTTTGTTTTAAAGTCTAAATCAATTGTTTTTCGATTGCCTGAACCTGTAAATGTTAACATCCACGTTGTATCTAAATCAGATTTTGAATATTTTTGATGAAAGATAATTTTGATGCCAATCCTAAATACACCCCACTAGAATATAGAACAGATATAATGTTAGATATACTCAACACTATCAGATATAAAGAAATAAATATTCTAAATGTTATTCTATTTTACTAATTTAAGACACATTTCTTCTACAAACATGTAAACTTACCCCGATTCTTCTCACGCGATAGGGTGCTTTATTTAATATTAATCTTGCTGGACTAAACGTTGGATGTAAATCAATTTGTACTTCTTTAATAAAATCATCAATATCATCTTCATCATCTTCATCAAAACGAATAAATAGTGTCCAACAATGTTTATTACTGCTACGATTATCGGTAGTTATCATTTCATGATGATTTCCAATTATTAAACATTTTTTAATAATAATAAGTAATTCATTTTCATGTCGATCTTGTTCAATTTCTTTACGTCGTTCAGCATATTCATTTGTGTAACGAATTTGTAATAAATTATGTAAAATTGTATTCACTTTCATTTGAGATGTTGAATTCTAAATCAATAAATTAACTTCATAACAAGTTGAAATAGATATAAAAGTGATTATAACTCTAATGAATATTTTTAATCTTTTTTTTTTCTTCTATTTAATTCTCCCACCTGTCTTAAGTATGTTAGATCTTCTCGGCATAATGGACACGTGTATTGTCTGGTGCTACCAATCTCGACAAATTTTTCAAGACAATATAGACAATATGTATGACCACAAACCGTTGTTATTCTAAAATAGTCAAGTTATATCGGTAAATTCATGATACAGAGAGATCAAAATTGCGTAATAAACGAATAACTCACGGTTCACATAAAAGTTTTAGACATAATGGACATTCACTATATTCATCAAATGACTTATACAATTCCATTAATTTATGTTGTTGTTTTTCATCTTCTTTTTCATTTTTCTTATTGACTGATGATATTGAACATTCCGATATCGGTTCGTTAGAAGAGATATCATCGGACATTTTTAATTTTAATCTCCAAAAAATAAATATTAAATGTCTAATGAATCTTAGATATCAATTAGCCAGAATGAGGAATATAACTACCAGAGATGTACGGGTGTCCATTTTTTCAGAATCCTTCTTGTCCTAGTCAATCAGTTTCAAAGCCCCGCTTCGTCACTTTTTATAATTGACTATTCCACACAACTCGACCGAAAACATGATTCCGACACTCTTATCATAATTTTCTAGTCTGAAATATATCAACAAAACGGGGACATACTTTTTTTGACAACAAGATCATTTTTTAAGAGCAGTGTTGAATATTTTCACAATATCTTTTCAGCCTAGAGTTGTAGAGAGCTCTAACCATAGCTGCCACCTTGTCTTGATTTTTTGGACAAATTCCGGTTTTGGGGGTTTTTTCCGGAATTTGTGCGGATTTTGAGAATTTCTACTTCTGGCTGTATTTCCCTGATCATGGAGGTTTTACGTGTTTTTTTTATCTATAGTTTGTGGAGGTTGCCTTTCTCGTATTATAGGCCAACTAGAGTGCCAGTGACTTTTCGGATAAAAAACAAGTGAGTGAATTTATTTATTCACTTATTCGGATTAAGAAATAAGTGAAACTGGATTTCCGTTTTTTTTCCTGATTTCTGATTTGTATAGGTGGCAGCTCTGGCTAGCACGTCTCATCTGGTTAAGTACACTTTTCTTCACAAGAAGAGACAATCGCGAGCCTCGGGCAACTTTTGTAAGATATGAAGTCACATCAAGAAAATAGGGAAAGTAGACAGCAACCACAATACGTGAAGTTTGCAAGGCGACAGAGTAAAACCGATCAAACTACGTACGTATATATTTTAATCTCGAGAGAGACTGATTCAATAACTGTATTTGTATTGTTTGTTTTTCCCGACTAGGAACAGCATAAAAAAAGGATTTTAGGTGTACGACTCTATTAAAAGCAGAGATCACTAATGTATACTTTTTTCTGAAAACTTTAATTTTGTGTTCGATTTACAAAATGCTGCTTTTGTAATCGATTTAATCTAACTAGTTATTGCTTAGTATAGTTATATGAAAGACCAAATTTCGTCGATTTATATATATGGCATGCGAAATATATGTCATTCCATGTCCTGCAATCCCATAGAATGATGCAGCATGTACTCAAACTTTGAAGAACGGGGAAAATTGCCTTTAAAAGTTGTTGTTTTCTATCATTAGATGATTTTTAATCTCATTGAGAACCACTTCATCGAATAGCACATTTAATTAATTTATAATTAATTTATTAAACACATTATGAGATAAAAAATTGTTGCATCTTTCACAGTTTATTTTTTACTAGATAATGACCAGTTAAGGTCGAAATATCGTGAAAAAAATAAGAAATTATCTCATTTTACTCGGCTGATATAATTCTCAAAATTTGATTGTATGGTTTACAAAAAAGACCTACTTTTCGGAAAAAACGATTTTTTTAAAAATTCTTCTGAGAACATGTTTAACATTTTGAAACTTTTTGTTCGTTAGGAACTTTGCAGCGCTGCACATATAGATTTTAATCTGACGGTACCAGCTGATGAAAGTGTTTCGCTAAAAACTGATGAAAATGTCCACAAAAGGCCGGTTCTGCTGGGAAATGGGATGCCCACAGGTCTACAACACCATCATGCCGTTATTTTAAAATCTTTTAAACATGATATTCATCACTAGGAGCTCGACTTATACTAGTCCTATTACTCTCGACTGTTGGGATACACTTTCAAAAGAATTACCCTTAAACGTTCCTTCTCACAAAACATCATGTCTTATTTCGAAACAGTTATAGAAAAGTTCATGTTTCTTTTTTCTATTGAACGAACGATGATAATATCGTTTCTTTCCATAGGTTTAGATTATCTCGTCATTGAATACTAATCATGCTTGTAGCCGAAAAGACGTTCCGGTCCGCGGGGATCTCATCTTGTCAGCTTTTAGATTGTCCTAGAGCACTCTTCGAACAAAAGAATTTTTTTGTCTATCACCGGTTTCTCATCTCCGATGGCTACTGCAATATCTAAATCCTTCTAAATGCAGTATGAAAATAAGTCCAAGTAATATTAATTAAAAGAGTGACTTGTCTAGATATAATTTGTTCTTTAAAAACAAATAAAAATAAATACAATAAAAATAAAAATAGTTTCAAATGCCACTGTTTAGAAAAATAAATAAATTCAAATTTTAACACCGGTGTGTATGTAAAAGCTGTAATGTAGTGAATGACTCTTAATATAAAAGCGTAATAAAATAATATCATATTGTTGTATATAATTCATTCATTTGTATTGAGTATTGCCATTTAATCGAACGACATAAACCCGACGATCGATTGATGAAGAATAACAATTATTGTGTACCTTTAAAAATAAATCAATAGGGAACAAAACTGAATATGTTTGTTGACAAGATAATAGTACAATTTCGTAAATGTAACCATCAATAACTATTCGAACGATTAACAACTAATTAGTCACTTAAAGAATCTATAATTTCTTTTCTACCATAAGCAACTCGTGCTCGAAAATATTTTTCATTTTAGTCTCAAAAATGATAGTGCAAAAGAATTTTTATCATTTTTATTTGAGAGATCACGTCTTTCACACATTCTGATGAGCTGACAAATTTCTTTTAGGTATAGATCAATGGCATTACTCTCATTTTTGAGTCAAAGATGTCATAAACGTTTTCTCTCTTTTCCATTCTTTCTTATTTTCTTCTAAAAGGAACATATAATGGGATTTTCTCGCTTTGTTATCTTTGTGAAATAAAATCGATTAGATTAAATATATTTAGTCAAATTTTGATATAATTAATTATATAACCTACGGGTGTATGTTTATAAATTAGAGATCTATTTGATAAACGTAATGGATCAATTCTATGAATTTTTGACGAATTTACTGGTATCTGTAATTCATATGGCCATTGTGGACGCGATACACACTAGAAACAAAATGAAATAGTGGAAAAATAAAAATTATTTAAAGAAAAACACACTGGTTTTGAAGATGGACACTCTTTTTTCGACGAGGACGTTTGTCTAGCACATGATAGTGAAGTGTTTCCCATTCGTCGCTTCATCTTGTCAATTTGTTATTGTACATATAAATAAATCTAAAATAAGAGACATTTTTTTCTCCATTAATACAGGTTAGGATGATTCACTTATCATAAAAGAAATGCCAGAGATTTATTTGTGCAAAAAAAGATTATATATATATATATATATCACAGTTATAAATAAATAAATGTATTTGAGAAAGAAAAAAAACAACTTTGAGAAAAAAATAATTGGATTTTAACTAACTTGCCACTAGAACAGAAAAAAAGAAAATTTTGATAAAATTTTGTTGATTTAAAGATTTTTTTGTATTTATCATTAAGATTACCTTTAGTCCGCCTGCTCCATAACCCTCAGCACCAAGTGGATTCCGTTTCTGTTCCATTCGTTCCATTTCAACTTTTTTCTGTTGCTGTCGTCTCAATTGTTCTATATCTACACCTCTCGTTTCCATTTGTTGAAGTCGTTGTTCAGCTGCTTCAGCGGCCGCAATACGTCTTGAATTCTAACAATAAAAAATAGAATTGAAAATATTTTAATAATAAATATCGAAAAATTGACAAAAACAGTTTAAATCTTTTTATTTGAATAAAAATGTTAACATAAACTTTAAGAAATTATTTTTTCTCACAAGATATATCTGTATTCTTGTAATAAAAAATCTTAATTAATAAAATTTCGTAATCTTTATATGAAAATGCATCATTGAAAAAAAACGTATAAAAGATATTATTCTCAACAAATATGATGTTTTACAGATATCACAGACATTTATTTGTATAAAATTAAAATAACACAATTAATAAAACAAAAATACGCTGGAATATATATATTTTATTGTTATAAAATACAATTCTAAGACAATAAAAAACTTGATACTACTGGTATAATTTGCATAACAGATTGAGTTAAATAATGATCATCAATAACTTCATGTAATACTACATTTTTCTTATCTTTATGTAATTCTAGAAATTTTCTACTCGATACTATTGGTATAATTTGATCTTTTGTACCATGTATAATCGATGTTGGACAATTAACTTCAGGATAAAGTGGATGATTTTTATGTGCATCTTCAAAAAATTCATAATGTAATTGTCTTCCATCGTATGAATGTTTTCCACTTTTACGCCATTTTTCCATTTCTTCTTGTGTTAAAAATTCTTGCCATCTTGCTGCTAGATTAAACGCTGGACATAGTAAAAATAATTTGTTTACTTTATCAGGATTTAATTGAGCCCATCGTGCAGCTATATAACCACCTAAAAATAGCCGAAATATATATAAGTGAGTTGTAATAATTAGTTGATGAAATTTACTTACCCATAGAAGCTCCCACTAAATTCATTTTTAATTGAGTATTTGATGTTGAACATAATTCTTTTTTTTTCTTTACATAAAGTTGATCAATAACTTTTAACGCGTTTGATACAGAAAATTCATTGAATGAAGGTTGATTCAAATCGGGTTGTTCAATATCAACTTTAAACATTTGAGCGATAAAATTGGCTATTTTACCACCACCACCAACGCTACTATCACTCGTAAATCCATGTAAAAATGTGAAAAATACTTGAGTTGAACTACTGTTTAGTGTTGCTGAGGTTGTCGAGGATGCCATGAGGAGTAGATAGAAGAAAAAGATTGTTTTATTCTGTATTATTTGTAAACTCTATAAAATGATTAGATACTTTATGTTAGTTGAAAAAGCTAGAATACAAGAGTCACGAGCAAATGTATCTACTAAAAAATCTAAGTAGTTGATGCATTTCACATTTAGAGATTACGAATAGATGTTAGTTGCTTTGAGGGAATCTGTAAAATAATTAATAAAATGAAGCGTATTTTCAAAAAAATATGCTATTTTGTTCTTTCTTTTTACCGCATCCGGAGTTGTGGCGGCATGTGAACCGTCTGGATTGTGACAACAATCTAACAGTGAACCCATTCGATGAATACCAGTATTACAAAGAAAAGAAATATAGGAGATTAATGTTCCAGAAAGAAAAACGTTATGTAATTAAGAGATTCATTAATATAGTTCAAAGATTCATGTCATAATAAAATTCGAGAAATTACCCCAAGGATATTGTATATTGTTTTTCATTAGTCATCTACTTCTATTCATGATTAGATCTTCGATGGACCAATAATATTTTAATATTTGTCCTCGACTGTCTTCACCATTATTGTTTTAATTTAGAAAACGAATGAATATTAATATATAGTTACGGCGCGTACACCGACTACGATTTCTGCCATCAGCACTTGTCCTAAATCAAAGAAAAATTCCATATATATGTATGTAGATCATCGCCTATACTAGTCGATACTTGAATTCGGGTACCTACAAAGTATCCATACTTCGATGGGTACCTAAAATTACTTGTTAGGTACTATAATACTTGGCTGAGACTAGCAGAAGTACCTAAAAAAAGACTTGAAAAATACCTAAATACTTTTGCTTACGGAAGCCAAGTACCTATGACATTACTGTAGTAAAGTACCAATATGTATTTCAGGCACATTCACTAGCAGATGCATACTCGAAATAGTCACAAGGAAATGCAGTGTGTATTTTACTAATAAACTTTTAATTGTTTAGTACAAAACAGCATAATTTACAAATGAAAAGTTTCTTTAATAAATCTGCATCTGTTCTCCAAAAATGACATAATCGAAATACGACTGATGGGCTTCAAGACCGAAATCAATTTTTAGATTCATTTCGTTTGGAACGATTTCCGTTTAGCATCCGTTGTTGATCTATCCCTTTGGCATCTGTTGTAATTGAGGACTATTTTTATCTAGTATCTATAGTTACAAATGTTCAATTTTTTTTCTCAAACTAAACAGCCTAAACAGATCAGTTTTAAATATAAATGTACAAATCGATTTTTCAAGGTAATCAATATGATTATAACGTCAACTGATGTTAAGAAAAGTGTCGGGAACCTTGATTCGACAAATTTATCATCATCCTTGTAAGTTGTAAATTATGATTTAATTAATTTGTTTGAGAAAAACATCGTTCGCAGTTTGATGTTACATTAACGTGATAGTCTATTACAAAAGAAAAATCAAGTATGATTTATATATTGATTGATTCATCGATTGATTGATTGATTGATTGATTGATTGCGTAAATGATTAAAAAAAGTATTGTAATAGATATATAAACAAATTATTAGAACGATCATGTGTCTTTCTTTACCTGCTCTCGAGGATATACTGGGTGCATCAGATGATAACCCTCGGTTCGCTTTCATTTAATACTCCGGTAAATACAACGTGATACAATATGTACTTAGCTACGAACAGACACACGATACTCGATCTCGTAAAATTATAAAGAATAAACCAATATCGAGAACCGAATAAATAGCTAAACTTTCTGTTAGAAGAAGTATTCGGTTTTAAGATTTTCTAACAAATTGGCTATTGTTCTCATTATACTTTCTCATGTTCAAGTAAAAACTATTATTGGGTTCTACCTATCAGTCCATTATTGTGTAATAAACATTTGACCTTGCTGGTGAATTTTTATTATTAGGCGATATGTGTCAAATTGTCGATAATTTTCTCTTTCTTCCCACTGGAGATATATTTCAAGTGTTAAAGGAACTATATTATTTCTTGGGTTCCTTCTACTTATTAGTCGCCGGGGCATAGTGGGCATTTTCCCATAGAGCAGGCGGACATCTGATTTTTTGAGTTACAAAATGATTATTTTAGCCTAATATGGTCTTACTATGTGTCAGATATTAGCAGAAGTAAAAAAGGTCGAATTCGAAAAAAAATTTTTTTCGACAAAAAGTTCCTTAGGTTCCTTCCCCTTGCCCTGAATTTTTGTCAAAAAATGTTTTATTTGTAAAACTAACAAACTATACATCATTCGACGTAGTTTTTCACGGTGATTCCGAATATGACTTTATGTTATGGAAAAAGTGCTCTTATGGG